ACATTGATCGGTGTATCTGTCATTCGGATATGTCAACAAAAAATAGCAGAAACTTTCTTTTCGAGGTTTGATCTCGATGTAACGCTTAGTCGAATATTTATTTATTCTCTTTCGAGAGCACAAAGAAATCATTTACGACAGATTACAAATTGATATGAGATTCGCTTGCGTTCAGATAAGTACTTTCTTCTTCTTTTATGGATGGTTGTCCCTTTTGGAATTAACATAGTGTCATACACTTTCTCCTCCCTATTTTTCTTCATAATTTCCCTTAAAATTTTGTATATCTCAAGATTTTTTATTTGAGTTTACTATTTTACTTAGACGAATAAATAAAGAACTTCTTAAAATCTTTCTGTGTCTATTGCTAAAATATAAGCATGTACATATTGATAATAATCTCATCATTTTTAAATTTAGTTTAATTTTAACTGTTCTAACAAAAAAAAATTTTGAAGTAAGTTTTAGATTATATGAAATATTTTTTGAAAGCAGTTTAACGAGTTAATGCATTAAGGGCCACTTTGATCAATTCCGATTAACTTTAATCGATGGTTAGGTCCATTGGAATTAGCCAATCGCATCTGTCGTTGACAAATGCGATTAATCAATTCCAATGGACTAATCGTCGATTAAAGTTAATCGGAGTTGGTCGAAGTGGCCCTAGATCAGAGATATCCAATATGGATAGCAACACTAATAGGTTACATAAATTTTCAGAGTATTAATTATACTTCATTATTTTACGTAGCTATAAACTTGCGCCCTTTCACAATTTCATATACATAAGTATGAAGTTAGATTTTTAAAAATAGTAGAAATCAAAACTAAATTTCAAAATAAATTACAATTATCAAACTCCTTGCGCCTAAAATAACTCGCGTCGTTATCGACGTCAAAGCTATCCATTAACAAAAATTATTAATAGGAAACAGATGCATTCTTTATACATATCTTTATCATATATTTTTGAGAAATAAAATTATATTCAACAAAAAAAAAATTAAAAAATAAAAAAAATAATATAGTACAGATAAATGATAATCAATTCCTCTTTTCTCGTTTTTTCATATTTGCTAAACCTAGATGAGTCGCAGACGTTTGCCATTTTATAAAGTGGGTCGCAATCCACACAAATTTGGAAATACATTAGATAACAGGCGAATTGTAATATTTGACCTTTTAATGTTACATAAGCAATATTCGAAAAACATTTCTAATTATTCCGATCGATTTCAACTATTTCAAAATTAAAAAAAAATTTTAGAATTTGACTGCCTCGAACAACTCTGCTGTCTTTGTTTTGGTAAATTTGATGAAATTAAATTGCTTAAATAAAAGTTGAAAAATATTTTCCGAATAAGAAGCGAATAAAAATGAAAGATTTTAAAACATTAATGTAAGATTTCAAAATACTCGATTAAGATTATCTTAAACATAAATTATGTTTTATGTGTCGAAATAGCAATACTTTAAATAAATTTAAAAAGAGTTAGAAATTGACAAAAAAATATTTTTAAAGTTATTCCCATCGAGCCCTTCTAACGATTGCCTCTTTCTTGATTTATTGATTGCAATGTAGGATTTCAAGGATAAACCTTCCTCGAAAAAAAATTCTTCTTGTCTTAGGACGATTAAGAAAGCTTTCCGTAGATCGTTGCAATGGCCTTTGCAGCGACATTCGCGAACACAATCGCTTGGGGCGTCAAAGAAATACATTCAAGAGATACAAATTGTATATGTGTCGCGCGCGGAATTTCTTCTTATCCATTTCTTTCAATCTTAAGAGAATCTTTGCAAACAAGCACATATATTTTCATCAATCATCTGTTACATTCAACATGTATTGACAGTTTTTCATTGAGTTTTTCATCGAATAGATCAAGATTTTTCAATAAAAAAAACAATTTTAAAATTCTTAGATTTTTATCTGCAAGTTTGCAAATATTTCTTATTTTCATTCGTCAGTTTCTTATATTGGAAAATAAAACTCGCGGAAAGTCGTAAGTTACTGCGAGAGGATTTGTCGAAATTCCAATGATTCCAACTATTTTATGATCTGCATATGAATGATGGACGATTCAGACTTCGTTTACTTATGTGACAGCCACAGAAATTCTATTCGGGTTCGTCCATTGTAAGATTCATGTCTTTTATTATTCATCAACTTTTTGAGTTTGGTACTCCGCATTTCCGCCGTTGTTCGCCTCGGTCAAAGTTCGGGAGAAACGACCAGTTCTCAAAGGAGCAAAACGGATGACATCAGGAGATTGCCGTGATTTTCACGGCCGTCGAAAGAGACATTGCAGGTCTGGCGCTTTCTTTCGTACGACATGGAGACAAAACGAAACGGGCGATAGGGCATCGCCGTAAGAGCCGACAGCAGTAGGATGCCATTCTTGCCTACAGCACCTCGTGCTGTAGGAGTTCGTGTCTTTACTTTCACTGCTCGCAGTCTGATCTAAGACACGTTGTCCCTCGCGGCGACACCTTTTCACATCCCAAAGGGCTGTCACGGCGACCTGACATAGCCGTGTGTCAAAACGAGAGAAGAGCGATCGAGTAATTCCGGAATATGGATTGACCGGATGCAATAGCGTAATCTCTTTTGATCGCGATCGGTCTGTTCCGGCCGCTAGCCGGACAATATCTTTGCCGTTTCATTGGCAGCAAGACCGTTGGAATTTGAATTTACATCGCGCTGGACGAAGACGAGCCACGGATTCCAGCAAGGCATAAATTTCGCGAAATATGTATGTGTGTGGCATCGCCAATCGAGATAGCGAAGATGACAGAGAGAGACGGAAAACATTAAAAAGGAGTAACACATAGGGAAATGTGGATATACGGCGTCGATCGTCTTCTAAACGAAATGAAAGGGAAAGGAAGCTCATAGGAGAAGCTATACACCTTCGTGTGTCTCCTCGGGATTCGATCGAGAATGGCAGTGAGAGTGAGAGAAAGAGAGAGAAGAAAGAGATTAAAAAATCATTGATATTCGATTATTCTCAGATTTTATGGAAGATTAATTCTGCGTATCTGTATCTTACAGAACTATCGCATATTCTTCTATCTTAGAATATTTTTTTACTTTAGAATATTAGATTATTATTATTTTTAGTTATACAAATTATGTGAAAGATTTAGATTTGTAAGCAGCATACATAACATTCTTCATATTTCCTGCGCTTTAATAAAGTTATTTTATTATTGTTATTATTAAAATCACGTGGGTACAAATTACTTAATAACATTATGCAAAAGACAATATTATTCTCGAATAAAACAGTTTTATATATAAATTTAATATTTAAAAAACATTTATAAAAATTACAAACGTGATTTTAATAATAAAAATAACAGTAACAAAAAAAGTAACTTATTATAATAAATTTCTATATAAATTTTTATATACAAATTTAAACAGCATACATTTATATGTGATATATTTCCTATTATATTAAATATATTTTAGAGAAAAAAGTAATGCGTGTTTATTTTAATTTCATTTGATAAGTACATCTCAATTGACTATCTATCGTTGTATCTATTGCGTTATGAATATTTAATTTACGCGCTATATATAATATCTGCGGTGACTTATAAGGCATTTTACTTATATTACATAGAGGGCGTAATATATTTTAATTAAATAAACAGAATTAAAAATCGCGCGATCGATCTCGGGAAAATGACATTACTATTTAATGCACTTCAAGAGAAACAGTCGGTAATATTTCCTATCCAGAATTGCAGAATATTTATTCGAGATTTATGACAAACTACGTACATACTTTTGTAAAAATAAAATAATACCTTTAAAAATATTGTTGCGTCAATTTATCGGGCAATGTGCACCGACATACATGGTTAATGTTCTGCAATCGAAATGTGAAAAGGTGCGTTATTGCCTAAGACTGTTGATTCCTCTCCAAATTCTTTAATACTACTTAAAAGTCTAATATATTCTAGTAATTAAAATATCAGAGAGAGAGAGAGAGAGAATTATGTTCAAAAAAATGCGATTACCAAAGTAATTACAAAGACAACACCGAAACAAAGATATCTTAAATTACAATAAAATAATATTACAATAGTAATATTAAATTATATTAGTATTATTATAGTAAATATAATTATAACATTAAAAATATAAATATAATTATAATAACATGAAAAAAGTAATGCGTGTTTATTTTAATTTCATTTGATAAGTACATCTCAATTGACTATCTATCGTTGTATCTATTGCGTTATGAATATTTAATTTACGCGCTATATATAATACCTGCGGTGACTTATAAGGCATTTTACTTATATTAAAGATATCTTAATCTCATTGCGTTGTAATATGCTAATAGCGTTCCTCGAGCAGAACAAGTCACGATAAGTCAAAATGACGTTAAAATGAATCGTGACTGAAATAATCTCGACAAAAAAATTATTATTTTAAAGCCATTTTGTCATTACGACTCTGTTCTGCTTGGGTCTCTACCATCTCGATTTTATTACGTCACAATACGTGCTAACATCGTCCTTTAAACGTATTAACGGATTTGATCGTAGTAAACTTCTAGGTTAACAAATAGATATTCTGAGAAAAAATTTCTAATAGTTGAAAATGAACGAACCAAGAAGATTCTAATCGTATTAATCAGAATTCTGAGCTATAAGAATTATAGTAGATTCAGCCAGAAAATTTTGAATGGTCCGTTTTTAATCAAAACTTCGATTAATGCAATCAGACTCTTTTTCAGTGCAAGTAAAGCGAGCGAGTAGACCTTCACTCAAGCTTTGTACAAAAGATAACGTAAAAGCCCGGGTATTCGCGACATTGCACACATACTATGCGACGTAAGGGGGTGAGTGTGCGCGTATCAGATATCTTAGAGTACCGTATTGTATCGCTATCGTGGACGGCTTAAGCACGGGTGGTTGCTGGCAGAGTGAGAGTGCCATATATATAGAGAGAAGGGGAAACTCGACTCGGCACTCCAAAGTACACAGCCTCCGCGATTGCAGTGGTGTGCTCTTTCGGTTTCCTTCCACCTGGTTGTCGCTTGATATTCATTCCCTCGCGGGCCGCGCGCCAGTGGTAACAGTCGGCCGACGAAAAACCGGTGGTTTCCACACACGTTCGCCTCAGAAGGGCATCCGCAGAGGATCAACAGAATCCGCCCTAGGCCGCCGACACCATGAAACTTACGCTGTTCACGTGAGTACGCCTATCGACGACTCACGATCTCGAGTCCGTGGAGAATAATCGAGTGGTTCAATGCAAAAATGAAATCCATAATTCATAAGGTCCTCCTGCTACTTCGCAATTTAAAAGAGACCTTTACGGATTATGGATTTGTTTTATTCTCGCATTGAGCTCATCGATTTCTTCCCCTATTTTAATCACTTCATGGTAACGAAATCGCAATCACGCCTAACTTTGATAGTGATTGCAGATCGTGCTTATGCAACGAACTTCTCTATTTTCCTCAACGAGCGTTTGTTTCACGATATTGCTAAATAAGAAGAGATGTTCCCTTTCGTAATCTTAAATTAGATATACGCGTCCGGAAGAATTAAACAACTAAGAAATAAAAAAAAAGCAAATTGTTCAATTGCAGTAATCGCGAAGCGAGATGCAGTTACGTATTACACCGTTTGATTAAAGCAAGAAGGGGTTAATGAAGTTTAACGATTCAATCGTTCGCCCACTAATTTCGCGCGATCGTAGATTGCTATTATTCGTAGATCACTTTTGGTGAGACCTGAATAATTCCAAGGCCGGTTATATGTTCGTGATTGAAAGGTACATGTATACTATCCGTACCCTTCGTTTCAGTCTTAATATCTGTCATCCTGTTACCTGTAATCAAAATTGCTAACCGCCTACCGAGGAAACCGCGGCTGCCAGGCGTCGATAACTTTCGATCTTGCAGACATAGATCGATTTACGACGCTTAATAGTTAATATATCCCGGATCATTTAGCATGGTGTTTCCACACGGATTGAAGATAATGCATACCAGTTGCCGACTATAAAACACGTGCCCTGACTCCACAAGAAGTTATTCAATCACAACCTTTTATATACCGTCGCCTATTGATTACATTCACACTACGCTCCCGTTCGACGACATTTCGATCCGATTCATACTTGCAGTCGCGAGTACGGCTGCAAATCTAGTATTAATAACGGGATGCAGAGAGGTACGTTATGCAAACGAACGACTGCAGTAGCTGCACGGAGTCCTTTCCTGGTTCTGACCAGGAAATTGATTAGAAAAGCTATAGCGAGAGTGAGAGCGCATAACAGCGATTATTATTGAAATCGAAATTAATAAACACATGTCCGTTTACTTGAGAAAAATTTCGTATAAATATACGGGTGTCACCGTTGCTTCTCTCCTTGACATTATACTAATGAGCAATGCGTGCATGGTAATGTGTCTTCGCTCCTACACAAGTCGGCGTGAAAGAAAAATGAAAAGACATTTATTACTCGTGTTTTAATATCTCTCCTGAAGATTTTTCTTAAGCACGTAATAAAAATGCATCAGATGCAGCGTATAAATACATATTATTGTCAGAGATAGAAGACTCAAATAAAACATATTAAAACAAACCGAGAAGTAAAAGGAGGAAAAAAGGAAAGGAGAAGCTAAAAGTTTAATTTTAAAGAAAGGGGAAAAGAAAAATATATAAAAAGAGAAAATTAAATTTAGTATAATATCTTGTAATTAGTTTACATAAAACGTTTGTCATTTAATAAATTGTGTTTTAAATAAAATTACTATTTCACGGTTTCTTGAAAGGAAAAAAGAATTAAAATATTCCTCTTTCAAGAAGAAATATATTTGTTGAAACTGACAATTGCTTTAATTAAAATTGCGTTGGAATTTATATTGTAGAGAGTTACGATTTCATCTTCAACTTGAATGACAAATATAATAAATCTATTTTGCTGAACTCAGGAGAGAAGATAAGAGAGAGGTTACAATGCTAAGAAATACTAAAATATTAGAAAGGATAAAATCGAAGGAAAGATGAGAGGTATAAAGGCGACAAAGAATTCTTATATGCAAGACAGGGCAATGCAAGCCCACGCACAAACGCTAACGACATCCTGCAGGCGGAATATAATGCGAATGCAATCGCTTTCCTCCAAGGCGAAGTTCCAGTGAAGTTCAGTGATCCCGCGTCACGATGCGATGTAATCGGATGGATGATGAATTACTTCACTCGCGAGATATTATAAATCAAGATTTGCGTATGGGGGAAGATATTACGCTATAATGCGAAAATATATTCCATATTCGGACAGTTTCGCAATCCCGCACACAACGAGAATTATGTTCATTAATTACGAGCGGCTATTCTCGTTTACCGGTGAACCGGTTCGCTGATAAAAAGAAAAAGTAGATCGCAGATTCCACAGGCGGGTAAATCAATTGCACGAACATAACTTCTTTTGGGTTTCATTTTAACTTTCCACTAAGATTTCTGTATTAAATATCGTCACTTCGTATTCTCGCTCCTCTTTTTTAACTAAAAAAAACTACCTTTTTGGTTGCAAAAATATTTATAATATGTATTCCAAAGATAGTTCTTAGCTGAACACAATGATAGTCACGTAACGTTTATATTACTTCATTAAAATAAAGTAATAAATAAAATATATCACACAAGAGAAATGAGAGTAAAGAAAAATTGACACGATTTTAAAACATTAAAAAATGACGATTCTGAGAATCAATCAATACTTATCAACCAGCGTCATCGTATCATTTATATCTTATATTATGACATAAAATAGATTTAAACATGTCATGCATGCAATTTTTGTTTGCAGGCTTTAATTTATCGATTCATGATTATTAACAAAAATTTAATTTATCGGCTGGACTATTAGGTGCCTCCTACTACTTATTGTTAGTAATTTAGTAATTCAAAATTTTATCCAAAATATTTTAATACATCAAATTGAAATAAAACCCAGAATTAATGATAAATAATTATAATATTCTGTATTACGAGAAATAACGAATTATATTCTTCATAATAATGTAATATTAATTAAATATATTCGACACTCTGTGAGCAGTTTTTACATTGTTTATAAATACTTCTAATTATTTACTTTATTTAAATAAATAATTAAATGAAAAAAGGATTTTAAAAAGGATTACAATTTACCTGTAGAGTTAGAATTTTAAAAACAAAAGTAGAACGAAAAAATAATCCCCCAAAAAATAACAAAGTTAAAACTATTAATCTTCAATTATTTGCACTTCAATTAAAATATGCGGATTGTATTAATATAATCCCGTTAAGCATAGACGATAAATGTCCTTGTTAACGGTAAAAGCATGATATCGCGTGATGCCGCACAATGAATAATAAGCAGCAACGTTCCGTTTCGAAGAACTCGGGAGTCAGATTTTTATCCTCGATATAACGCGAGAATATTCATTTAGGATATTAATGAAGCGCTAGTTACAATATAAATATCAACAATATAAGAATATTCAAGGGACACGTTATCGTAGCACAGTTTGATAAATGGTACACGTTATTTTCAATTAACTCTACATACAGGTTGCGGGATAATTTTTAATCTCCAAAATGTATCCTTTCAATAATAAGGAGCATTACTCGCGAATAAAGGACTTTTATGCAATGAGGCGATAGCGGTTATAGCCAGAAGCATGAAAAAACTTGCATCAAGAAACTGCTAAAGGCCAATCTCTAGAGAAGAAGCTCGAAGTTATAAAAGTAAAAAAAAGGACACTTAGTTCGAGACGTTGAAAATGCTAATAGACTAATATTATAGCTGCAAGATTCATATTAGTTTTCAAATAAAACTATCTGGGCAAATTGTATTTCAGAAAGTTAATGCGAATTAATACTGGTAATAAAAAAAGATTATCAATAATAGTATAATGGTAATGTAAATCTGCTTCACGCTTAAAACATGTTCTATTCGATCTTACATATTCCTCATTATTCAACTCACAATTACTATTTATATTGGATTTACATCGAAATTCGTGAATGGCTACAAGATTTCACAAACGTAATGAAACCGCTTTAAAATTTGTTCATCGTTGAAAAAAGCGTACAAGGTAATCTTGAGAAATTCTGGCAAAATTGTCCGGTCGCAGACGACGCTATTTGATAAATAAATACATCAGGGAATCTGCTTACGAATTCTGTACGAGCAATGACCAAGTTTGGACATGTTGTAATATATTTTAAAATGTCTGCTGAAAATTGAGGACGCAAATACAACGATACTGCTGATTACTCGTTCGGAATTATTTATATTTTATATTTAATACAAAAATATAACTTTTTATAAATTTCCATTAATCGGAAAGTTTTCTTTAAGATATACGTAGAAATTTTTTTCTAAATTCTTTTAATAATTTTTAGACGCAATAAAAATAAATTAATAATTTCTCTATCAATATCTCGTGAAAAATTCATATATTTTGACTCAATCATTTCCACGTGGCTAATACCAGTCTATCTGTGTAAACACGACTATAATTAATGAATGACGAGATAAATGAATGAATTAATCTTAAATATGAATTAAGTTCGTTGATCGATAATTGTCATCCCGCATTCAATGATTAAAGAAATAAAATTTTGATCGTACTCTAGTTTCAAAAAAGATTGACGTGTGCTATTTCCGCATTCAGAAAAAATATAGTAGTGACAATTATAGAAGTGATCAATGTAAAGGTAGCAACTATATGTATAAATTTTATGTAGAATTAATGTACATAATTGAATAAACTATAGTTTATAGTAATAATCATAAAATAGTACATCTACTTCACCATGTAAATTAATTCCATATAAAACTCGTATAATTACCCACCTTTATATAACTGCTACTACAATATATTTTTCCTCTGAATACAATCTCATGGATTCAATAGTAGAAATAATTAACCTCTAATTATTACAGAAGTTTAGAAATTGCTATATTAAAAATATTTAGATTTAAAGAAATACATTTTTTTATACAATGATAAAGACATTGTCATTTCATTGTCTCAAGTATCAAACCCTTGAAATATCTAATATTGATAAATTTAATACTGAAAGACAATAGTAAATAACTTATTTTAAGTATTGCAAGTACTGCTGCTCAGTACTTTAAGTATTCCACATAAATAATTAATTACTTTCTTTCAGTAACAAATTCACCAGCATCAAATTGATCAGTATTAGATTTCTGCAAGGGAAGATGTCGTCATTGTTCTCATTTCAATTCACGTTTCGAATTCGTACTTTCGCAATCGTTGAGCGTGCGTATTCTTGCTATCGATCGAGATCGCCGGGCTCGTCGTTTCCCGCGGATCCCTCGAAATTTCTCTCCCTTTCTTCATCCCGGGTTCGGCTGGTTTTCTTGACATTTGTGAGTCGCCTCACGTATGAATGTCCCGTCGTAACGGCGCGGCCAATCCCGAGCGCCGCGGCGCGCGAGTTGCACGAGAACCGTGCAGAGAAAGTGAGTCCCGTGTACGTGAATGTCACAGGTCAAAATCCACCTAGTGTACGCGGATCTACTACGAGCGAACGCGAACGCGAAACGCGAACATGCGAACAAACAGGCAGCGCGCCGAGCGTACGTAATAATCGTTGCAGCGCACGTCGCGAGTAGGATCTTTTGTCCTCGGATTCCTTTTTCGATCCTGGCGAAAGTTGCGACTGGACAGCCGTCCTGTATGCGTCCTGCGAAAATTTCCCGCAATAAAAAAATCTTAAGAAGCAGTTAGCCGTCAAAATTCAAAAATCTATTTTTTTCGAGGGAAATCTTTGAAAAGTTTTGGAACTCCAAATTTAGAAATAAGAATCGAAACAAATTGAACAAAGTAAGGCTAAAAATAAAGTAGAGCTAAAGTTAAAAAATTTACTTTTGTCGAGGCAAGTCTTTAAAATTTCAAAATTAGAAACGAAAATCGAAAAGAATAAGTAGGGCTAAAAATTTATATCAAATATATACACAAAATAGGTGTTACGCGATTTTACTCTCTAATAAAGAGGTCTCGAAGATCTAAAAAATAGTAAGTCATGATATGAATTATATAAGAAGTGAGTCTTGCGATATATAAAATGGCTTCTTTTAAGTCCTTAAAGTAACAACTGCATAATCTCGCACTCCAACTACTATAAGTTCTCTAAGCAATACCCTGACTTGCGTTTCACTGTTTTCTAAGTGCAGCCCGTCAATTTAACCGCAGTAAACTCGTTTCGCGACAGCGTTACGTTGCTACTTAAATAACACACTTTTTTAGCGCAAATAGCAATAATATGGACTGTACAGTTTTCACACGATCGTTCGATGATTTGGCACTTTTTTCTCGATCAGAAAAACCATGTCCTAAGGCGTTTAAATGCATTTGTATATTATAACCTGTCATCTACAGACAACACGATATTTATGTACGATATTGCATTAAATATTTGCACCCCTTCCCTGTTTGTTATCCTTTAAAAAGATATAAATCTCCATTTTAACATGGCTATAGTTAAATATTAAAAGAATTACAATTAACATCTAAAAAAATTAATTTTTATGAATCTTGCTAACTAATAATATTTTTGCATAAATTTTACAATGTTATGCAAACTGCACACCGACTGTACTCTCTAATACCATATTTCAATATAAGCACGAATAATTATTTCTGATGTATTTTTACTTGCTAAACACGAATTCGTTGGTCAAATTTGCCTATCACGTCATAAATTTAAGACATGAAAAAACGATGATTTAATAATTTTCACAACGTTATATGCAGCAAATTTTTTTTCTAAATTTTGTAAATGTCGCGCGAAAGTATCAACTTTTAACTTTTAAGCCTATTCTACAATGTGCTTTTTGTTTTCTGTTTTTTGCTTTTTGCTATCTTTTACATCTTGTTTTTTTGCTGCTTATTCGGTTTTTTGTTTTATGTCGCCCGAGATAAAAGTTAACGAACTTCGGAAGAAATAGAAAACACGCAGCAAGAAATACAATTGTCGATAAAACGGTTGCAAAAAGGGAAAAAAGCAAGAGATAAAAAGTAAGAAACAGGAAACAAAGAGCATATTGTAGAATGAGCTTTAAAGACATTTTGTTTTGTAATATAAAATTAACAAAATATAATACAATTTGTCAGGAAGATCATACTCTTGAATCATTATAGAATGATCACTCATTATAGAATGAGACTTTCATTTCTCCGCTTATTTGTGTTTTTTACATTTTGGTCGATTTTTCATTTATTCTCGTTAATTTTATAATCTTGCACTTTTTTATTTCAATAAACAAGAAACTTTGTAAAAGAAAAACACACTCGAAAAATCAATAAAACAATTATGTAATATTTTATCGAAGATAAAGTAATAAGAGATGCTAATATAGTCAAAAATTATAACGTGCGTGTTCTTTGCAGAATATTAGCCCTCTGTATAATAGCTGTTTGCAAATCAGCCGAAGAGGAGTATGATTATGAAGAAGAGGCAGCAGCGCCGGTGACGCCGGCGCCGACAAAGCCAGCAGGTGGTCGACTGGGAGGTCTTCTATCTTCGAGGGGACGTGCCACTATACCAAATGTAGGAAAAAAGAAAACACCGGTGAGGCCCCAACATCTTTTATATTAACGCGTTGTACGACAATACACACGGAGTAAACGAAAATAATATAGAAATAAATTCAATATCTCAATCATACACGAAGTAAATCTCTTTTTTTCTCCTTTCCCTTTCCAGGCACAATCAACGACGTCGAAGCCGATAGAACAAGCACCCGAAGAAGACGAGGTGGAAGAAGAAGACGCGGTTGATGAAAATGAAGAAAACGAAGCGCCCACGACGACGACCGAAACTGCGAAGAAACTTCGGAATAACGGTGGTGTCAGGCCTTTCAGGTGATCTCTTGTGTAGTGAAATATTCCGTAGTATTTTAATGTCCAGATATTTTGTAATAGATGTGCACTTTATAATTTCAGATCGAACGAGGATCTTTTGGCTGCCTTGAAGAGACGAAGAGCTCAGACAGGACCCAGCACTCAGTCACGTGAAACTGCTGCCACGCATTCTGCAGTGGAACACACCACAGCCAAGTCAAAGTAATGCAATATTTAAAAAAAAAAGATATTTACTTTACAGCAGCTTAATGATTTCAATCTCAAGAAGATAATATATATAATGTTACTTTATAAAGATGAATGTTTTAAGCTTCTTTTATACAAAATGTGTTACGTATATTTTCTAATTTCGTTATGTATGTTTTGAATCAATTATTATCAAAATTGGAAAAATTATTGACTGTTCGAAAATTTTGCACCCTTCTTTTTTGTTAATAGTAAATGTGAAAAAAATAAATAAATCAATGGCGTGATATGTTTCCAGAGCCACCACAAGTAATCGTAACAATAATAGCAAGACCAACGCAGGTAGCGAGACCAAACCATCGGGACGCGGCAGGTTCGGAGGAAGAGGAAAGACTGTTCAGGAGGAGGTCGAGGAGACTCAACGAGAGGAGGTCCAAGTAAAACCCAAAGCCAGCTCCTACCGCAGGCGCAGTTAAACCGATCGCTAATTCGTGATGAGAGTTGCCTAAGTTTGTTGATTTCTTAGAACGCGCATCAATCGAATTCCACAACCGATCAGCGCCCGAAAACCGTCGTCTTTCTCACAGTGTACAATTTTATAAAACAATCCTGCTTGCCGAATTCTTAGGAACTCAAAAGTCACTCAAAAGTTAGAACAAAAAGTCACTATACATCAAAAAGACGTCAAAATGTCTTCAAAATGATTACTAAAAATTATTCGATCAGTACAATTTATTTTAACGTCATTCTGACATTATCGTGACTTGTTATCCTGTCCGTGAATGAACTCGGAGCGTACTTTCGATTTCCGTGTACACGAATTTTCGATATACAATTAATACTAAATAAGAATTGTATAAATTACGGCAGCTTCGTTTACATTTTACCGCGCGGTATTAAAAATGTAAACGATCAATGGAAAGCTAGGAAATATCAATTATAAGAAATAGAATATCAATTATGTTACGACGGGTATTAATCGAAAGGAACAAGATCTTTCTCTTACTCAAGGAACACATAAAAGTCAACAAAAAATCAAAGCGATTTTATTTTAATTCTTAACGTTAGTAAACAATTAAATTTTGTAACCAAAAATCATCAGCTTGACTTTCATGACGTCAAAATAAAGTCATTTTGACTTCCTCTTAACTTGGTGCGTTCCTTAGGTAACCATACTGAGTTTCGATCGACGCGTGCATAAGGGATGATGGAGTAGTGATGTGTACATAGCAAAACACTGTCGTCCGTCAAGCACCTAAATCACCTATTGTATAAATGTAAATTAATGTGACAATAAAGTTTCTCTGGAAAGCGACACTATTCCTTGTAGCCATTCAATTGTTTTCACAACATAGGTCTTACTGAAGATACTTTATCATTTATTACATAATTATGTCATTAAAATATGAAGAATAGGGAATGTTCAAGATCAATGTGCAAACTTGAGATTATAAATTGAGATAAGCTTCTGTAAAACTACATTTTTTAATGTAACATTTTTAATGTATATTACTGTGTTAATTAAATTCATAATTTAAAGAAAAAATATGAAGGTGACTTATAATTGTAATAGATAATACAAAGCTGCAAACAAAATAATAAATTTGTTTATATAATATATAAAAATTAATCAATATCTTAATTTTTAAACTTTCAATAAAATATCTGTTAGTTAATATTTTTCAATAAAATTTGATTAACATTTATTTCGTATGCAGATGAGAAAATACAGCTATTTTTAATTATGACGTAAATTATCAATTAATTATCTCTTATATACCTTTCTAATTAATATAGATCTAATTAATGTATTGTCAAGAGCTTATCTTATTACAAGATATATTTTAATAATCTCACGAAAAAAATACAATAACTCATTGTTCATCAAAACAAAGATGAAAGACAATTGAAGAAAAATGAACGCTGCTGAGCTACATTATTAATCAAGCGTAAAATCTTTATTGTGTATAGCAAAAATTGCATAACAATATTCTATTTGTGCGTGTACGAAATTTTATTTTTATACCGGGTAAAAGTAAAATAATATTTATATTTATAAAGAATTTTCTAATTTTTTAAATATTTAAATATTATACATACAACAAACGTAATTAATTACAATTAAATGTTTACATATGCCTAAAACCATTCGTTTTAATTATTCTATATTTAATTCATGCTAAATATTTTTAGTTATATTCATAGCTACTTCAGTAAAATGAAAGAAAAACTTGTGAAAAATTTATTACTTTTATTGTTTCTCTCTCTATAAATAAACTTTTCATTGTTTTATTTCTTTGGAATCTTATCCTTACAGAAATCTACTGACCAATTTATTATCGAAATATTAAAAGCAAAAGAAGTTTGAAGAACTAAAAGCACTGAATAACAGTGCTTTTAATACTTAAAATAATTAATTAATTACTGTTTTTCAATATTAAATTGGCTAATATTAATTTTCTGTAAGGACAGAAGGTAAACTTAAACGCGTGAGTCATAGTTTGAGATTTAGGCGATCTCGTAGCAAACGTATTCAATTCCTGACTCATCCGATCCGGCGCCGGACGCCTAACGTTCACCATTATTGTCCCGTCACAGTTCACAAATGCCCGAGCCGTGTAAAAATAATGCACACGCATCCTCGCGGAATGTGCACACAAGAGAAAACGTCCTACGACGAACTTCGGAATGTTGGAGGCGTTCGGGGCGTGCACTCCTGCATTCTTACATTATGCGAGTGTGGCACGAGAAGTGCCGCATTACCTACCACTCCCGAAACTCCGAAAGTTTGGTGCGACCGACCCACTTTATTGCCGATAAATAATCCAATCACGACCTCTTCACAACGCTCGTTTAATGCTCCTTTCACCCTCATCGAAATGTCTCTTGCGCGCCCAAACTCACGATATGCAGAAATGTCTTGAACTGCACGATCAAAGCGAATCGCGATCCCGACTTTAAAAAGTAAAGTGCTTGAACCAATTGACTATTTATTATAATTACCGAGAAATAATATTAAACCACGTTCTAATTAAATATAGTTTATCACAGTAATATATGACAATGCAAATTTTGTATTATTCGTAAATAATAAATCTGTAGAGGGGAAGAGTATTCAGCGAGTCATTCCTCATCGCTCAATATTGCACATTTTAACACATATTGACTCCTGCAACACATTGACAATGATGAGTTTTCGGCACAAAGGATTTGAATACTGGAAACTACGATCAGCAGGCTGCGATACAAATCTGCGACTAGTCCAAAACTAATCGAAACGTCGGCGTTTGCATGACCTATAGCGACCGTAATTCGTTCGCGAGAGCGCTGAACTTTAAAGTTCATCATGGACTCAATTTTATCGGGCGAAGTTCGTAGAGAGGATTTATGATTTCGGCTGTCCTGTGCAGCCTTGAGTCGACCATAGATCGCGAGAGGACCGCGAACTGCCGAAGTATCCAAGGGAAAGATTGTGAATAAAATGTTAGAAAACGAAAAGAAACGAGGGAGAGAGAGAGAGAGAGAGAGAGAAAGGTGGTCGCGACAGGGCTCGTAAGAACAGAAGTATACGACAGGCAGGAAAGTGAGAGGAGGTGGCATCTGGTCGGCCTTGAGGCCTTTACAAGGAACATTTCACTCACAAAGAACATCCGAGCGGCGTCCTGACATCGGGATCGTACGTTTTGGCCACGAACGACGAAAGGGAAGGTGAGAAGGAGAGGAAAAAAACGAAAGCGGTTGCTTGCGAGCAGCAGGATCGACGCTATTCTTAGAAGTCAGAGAAGAAAAGAAAATGTCATAGGTAGAACAAAATGTTTCGACCTAACAACCACATTCGCAGGATTCTAGTAAAAAAAAATTGACATATAAATAAGCCACATACACTAACAAAAAAAATGGTTGTAATTATCATAATGTATACAGAGATTAGCAATTTAATTCGCTCTTTCATCCACAAGTCTTAATCCCGGAAGACTGACATTGAATCGATGGAAAGAGATATATAATGTGATAAATCAACAAGCGGTAACATTACAGCGAACGTAATAATCGGAGGAATACTTTCAAACGAAGACAACAATACGAATATACACGTGTGCACGTTCGTGATTGTACATGTATGAGCAATACTTTCACGACAGCCAGTCGTAAGATTCTAATCGGGAATCGGGAGTGATCTCGCCCGCGGTTCACCGGTCATCCTTGATCGCGACGACATTCCATCAGGAATTTCCCGTTTCTCTCGACCTCCGTCGTTATTGCTGGCACTTCCCGCCGCCCTCAGTCGCAGCGAAACCGTTATCGTTATTGCGGAAGGAAAGTAACAAATAAACGGTTTCTCTATCGTTAACGAACGAAAAAAATAGCGTCCAACGAAGAATTTCGATGTCGCTATTTATAATTTCTCAGGCCACGCGTGCGAAGCTCTTTACCGTCACGATTTATTATCGTTGCTATTATGGCAAAGGTTAAACCTGACTTCATCTTCGAACATTATCCATTCTCTGATTGTTTCTTTGTCCATGGATTCCCGAGTGAATTTAAGAACGTCTTTTCCTTGGTAAAGATTACATTAGCTTTGTCGGCAACTTTTTTTATTTTTAATATTAAACACTCCAGTAATTGCGGTTTAAGAATTTATGTTCCGTGAAATTAAGATTCTGTAATAGGATTCACTGCACGATTTTGAATGATTTTGTGGAAGTATTTAAAAATTTAGCTAGATACCGATCTGAAAATAATTGTGGTTTGTCAAAATAATTATTTAGGATGCTCATAATGCAAAAAAGTTTCCTAGCAACCACTTTGTCCAATGTAATTATTTTGATGGTCCAACAAGTTTTCAGATCTAAGTATATTTATCTAAATTTTTAGATACTTCAGCAAAATCGCTCTTTCCGTGTGAAAATAAAGCATAAATTTGTTATGCATTTCTAAATCTCTAGCTGCTATATAATGATGAAATGGTTGTAATATATATGCATATTCAACTCCATTGCATATATTATAATCAATTACATAACTAAATGCCTGAGATAGTCACAATATGCGACTTTTAAGTGTAAACAGAAATATCCGTGGGCAATGCAACGAGTCCCATGTTAACCTTTCGATAATGTCGTAGAATAGGTTGCAGAAGTAATCATGCTTCTATGTCTATTTTTTTACACATCTGTCTAAACCTCTCTATATAGACTATGGCATATTTCGTAAAAGTCCCTTATTTGGAAGAATAGTTTTCTCAAAGAAAAATGACGTACGAGAAAAATGATAAATCAAAATAGGGATAATTTTTAAAGGTAACACCAGCACAAAATTAATTTTTACGTTACTTTTAAAGAATATGAAACAAGCAATTTATGATTAGTCCTAAGAATTGATTTATGTTCAATATTGTCTAATAAATAATTTTTAAATATGCTATTTTCTTTCCTCTCTCCTGAACAATTTAATATTTTTTATGCTTGCGTGACATTTCTTGTGGAACGCGATATTAAATGTTATTCTAAAGTATCAATTTTTTCGCTGAACACATTGAATACTTAAACAATCTACTTAAATCTTTGAATATATACTTCATTACTTTGACTCTTATTGTTATTATGTTGTTTCAAAATGTAATCTAAAATAAACATAATAATTACCGATACAAGGAAACGTGACAAACGTGACGACGAACGCATGCATCTCAGCGAACTGCAATTACATTCACTGTCGCCGACAAAATGTCATTGCAACATAAGGAAACGATTATGGAAATATGGTATGCATTATAACACAACGTATTGCACAAACTGTAACAGTGCATATCCTCCAGGAGCGAATAAGTGTGTTTGTCGATTACATGCGCACTATAGCAGCTCATAATTACATTTCATTTGCGAGCATAAAGGAAAGTGTTGCGCTAGAAAGAGATATCCTGATATATCATTTCTCGCGAGGCTAGGGATTACACAAGACGTCGCATCAAGATGATGTGCGAATAGGTTCATCTCTCAGGATGATATAATAATGAGATACTATCTACTACTTGACGAGAAATATTGGCGAGAGCAAACGCGTAGGAAGTATAAAACATAAAGTATTATAGTATACCGATTAAATAATACTAGCTGGTTAAATAGATGAGGGCGAATGCTCGGTCCACAACCTTGCTTTAAGAGATCGTAAACCGTAAGCTGTAAGAAATTGACCAATCACAGTTTATTATTTTTCTCATATTCAACTGTGATTAGTCAATTTCTTAAGGCCTACGACTTATGGCCTCTTAAAGCAAGGTTGTGGACCGAGCACTAGGTGTACGAAAAATATTT